TTTTGGGGGGGGTTCATTCAATTCCATTATTTATTTAAAAACCTCATAGTTTTATTTTCTTTATGTTCAGCCTTAAATACATTTTATTTTGCTCACATATTAAAATCCTCTATTAATTTTGTGCCTATTGATATTTGAATGTGAATTATCCTTTTTCAAGTAAAAGCCCAGTCTAAAACTAGTTACCTGCTGTTTTTACCAAGAAACAGTTTTCTTTTAGCTTCCTATTCATTTATAGATATAGCTTATATGTGAAATTGACTTAACAGTCTTTTTTAAATTATTTATTTAAACATTTTTTATTTCTTTTTTTTAATTGAAGGACAGTTGATTTGCAATGTTGTGTTAGTTTCAGGTGTACTGCAAAGTGATTCAGTTATTTATATATATATATATATATATATATATACACACACACACACACACACACACACGCACACATATATACACATAATACACACATACATATATATACAAATACATAAATACGTATATATACACACATAAATACTTATACATATATATTCTTTTTCAGATTCTTTTCCCTTATAGGTCATTACAAAATACTATAGTTCCCTGTGCTGTACAGTAGGTCCTTCTTGATTATCTATTTTATATATAGTGGTGTGTATCTGTTAATTCCAAACTCCTAATTTATCCCTCCCCCCCATTTCCCCTTTGGTACCATAAATTTGTTTTCTATGTCTGTGAGTCTGTTTCTGTTTTGTATATAAGTTCATTTGTAAAAGTCTATCTTTTAATTACAAAGTATATCTTTGCTTTTGGAAGCAAATAGTTTAACTGACAGTAAGTAGTTTTGTGACATCTACTTGCATAACTGTGAATTTCCCTTGTAACTTGGATTAACAGCTGTATAGTTTTCATATGTTTTTAGCTGAGCTCCTCGTTGTCACCAGCAAGAACATTAAGAATTTTTTTATCATCTTATTTTCCCCATCATGAATAAAGTGTATTATTCCTAACTCAGTTTTAGTTACTATCTTGAAATTTTCTTCTTGCCCTTGCCATTTTTTGGTGGCTTTATTTGTATAACTTATTTGAAATAATTTGAAGTTATTTATTTGACATTTATTTGAAATAATTGATGACTCTCATATTTATAGGCTGCCATTTTTTTCACTTTTCTCCTTAAATTATGTCTATGAAGTGGGTTGGGCTAATCCAGGATTTCCTCACTCTTCAGTTGTAGAGTATGATGTGCCTAGGGAGCATAGCATGGTGGTTCAGTGTAGACTCTAGAACCTGACTCCATGGCTTTGAATCCTAACTCTGCTATTGGCTAACTTTGTTAACTTGGGCCAAATGTATAATCTGTCAGTGGCTGAGTTTCCTCACTTGAGAAATGGGAATAATAGTGTCTACCTGAGTTATGAAGTTTCAATTACTTAGCTCAGTGCCTACAGCATGGTAAGTAAATGCTCAATAAATGATAGCTGTTAATAGTGCTGTTGTCATTACCATCTGTGGATTGTGGCTAACTCAGAGATAAGCAGTAGAATAGCACCAGAATCAAGAGAACCCAGCCCAGAAAGTGCTTTCTAATGTTCTCTTCTAATCATGTTACTTTATACACACATAGAAACACACACACACACACACACACATACACACACACATTTTAAAAAGTAGAATTAAAGGGATTTATTTTTTCAGATTGCTTCTGTTGCAGTTGTATATGCATTAATAAATTTCCTTAGTGAATAAGATTAAGATCTGAAATAAAATAAATTTCAAACTCTGCAGTTATTATTAATAAAATACTGTTTAAAACCTGTAATTTCGGGCTTCCCTGGTGGCGCAGTGCTTGAGAGTCCGCCTGCTGATGCAGGAGACGCGGGTTCGTGCCCCGTTTCGGGAAGATCCCACATGCCGCGGAGCGGCTGGGCCCGTGAGCCATGGCCACTGAGCCTGCGCGTCCGGAGCCTGTGCTCCGCAAATGGGAGAGGCCACAACAGTGAGAGGCCCGCATAACGCAAGGAAAAAAAAAAAAAAACCTGTAATTTCAATACCTTCAACAATCTGATGAGTACTGTTTTTAAACATGTATTTGAAATGTAATTTATCTCACTATATACATTGATATATCAATATCATTGTTCCAGCCTGCAGTCAAAAAGTCTGAATTACAACACCATAAAATAATTATATCTAGAAATAGTTCTGTTCTATCAACCTCTAAATGTGCAGCTTCATAATTTTATTAATGTTTATACAGATAATAGGGAATTAGGTTTCATTAGTGGAAGGAACACAGATTTTTTTTTTAACATCTTTATTGGAGTATAATTGCTTTACAATGTTGTGTTAGTTTCTGCTGTATAACAAAGTGAATCAGCCATATGCATACATATATCTCCATATCCCCTCCCTCTTGCGTCTCCCTCCCACCCACCCTATCCCACCCCTCTAGGTGGTCACAAAGCACCCAGCTCATCTCCCTGTGCTATGCAGCTGTTTCCCACTAGCTAGCTATGTTACATTTGGTGGTGTATATATGTCAATGCTACTCTCTCACTTCGACCCAGCTTACCCTTCTCTCTCCCCATGTCCTCAAGTCCATTCTCTACGTTTGCATCTTTTTTTTTTTTTGCAGTATGGGGGCCTCTTACTGCCGTGGCCTCTCCCGCTGCGGAGCACAGGCTCTGGACGCGCAGGCCCAGCGGCCATGGCTCACGGGCCCAGCCGCTCCGCGGCACGTGGTATCCTCCTGGACCGGGGCACGAACCCGCGTCCCCCGCATTGGCAGGCGGACTCCCAACCACTGCGCCACCAGGGAAGCCCAACGTTTGCATCTTTATTCCTGTCCTGCCCCTAGGTTCATTAGAACCATTTTTTTTTTAGATTCCATATATATGTGTTAGCATATGGTATTTGTTTTTCTCTTTCTGACTTCATTCTGTATGACAGAATGGTCCATCCACCTCACTACAAATAACTCAATTTCATTTCTTGAGTAATATTGTATATATTGCCACATCTTTGCCACATTGCCACATCTATTGCCACATTGTATATATGTGCCACATCTTTATCCATTCATCTGTCGATGGACACTTAGGTTGCTTCCATGTCCTGACTATTGTAAATAATGCTGCAGTGAACATTGTGGTACATGTCTCTTTTTGAATTATGGTTTTCTTGGGGTATATGCCCAGTAGTGGGATTGCTGGGTCTTATGGTAGTTCTATTTTTAGTTTTTTAAGAAACCTCCATACTGTTCTCCATAGTGACTGTATCAATTTACATTTCGACCAACAGTGCAAGAGGGTTCCCTTTTCTCCACATCCTCTCCAGCCTTTATTGTTTCTAGATTTTTGGATGATGGCCATTCTGACCCAGGAACACAGAGTTTTGAATGTGTGGCATTTCTTCATTTTTAGCCCTGTTAGTCCCTGGTTAGAGTATACTGAAAATAGCATGTGATCCTGTCATATCAGTTCATGACTCTGTGCAAGGAAAGTGAGCATTGGTTATATTTCATCAAAAGAAATTCATTACAAGATTGGGTTAATTCTTTAATTTGTAGTATAAGTGCTTTGAAGGGTCTTTCTTACATAAGTCTTACTATAGGAACGGTTAAGATCACTGAATATCTATTATTATGTATTGCTTTATAAAAAAAGACTACTGTGAAGACAGTTGCATCTCATTTATTATATTTTTGAAAGCATAAGGTTGTATGTTATTGACGAATTTTATTCATAGAGGGTAAAATTTATTGAACATCTACCGTTTTTTGGCATCATACTGAGAAATTAACCCACTTAATTAAATCTTATACCTCTCTGAAGTATCTTACTCATTTAGCAGATGGAGAAGCTAGAGGCCAAATAAGATCAATAACTTGCCCAGAGTCATTTAGCTGCTAACAGGTGAAATTCAAACCCACTCTGTACTCTTAAGAGTGCCTCTCATATTATAAACTTTGTGATTATTTGAGTACTAAAGTGAATAATGATTTGTATATTTATGTAAAGAGACACACTGAAATTAGTACACTTAATTGCTTAAATTTCATTAGAGTAGACAAAAATATAAATATTTCTATAGTAGAAATAGGGAAGAATTTTTAAAAATGTAAAAAACTGTTGATCTATCATGGTTGATGCAGAAGTTATCGTTTTCAGGTGTTAATAGTCTTCATAAGCTAATTTATTTAAAGAAGGGAGGGAGGTAAGAGTGACGTGATAAGATAGATATGGTAAGATGGAACTCTTAGGAAGAAAAGCTAGTCGGGACTTCTAGAGGTTTTTCTAGGGTTAGGTAGGAAAATGCACAGAGAATATAATCAAATAGAAAGAACCAATGGAGAAAATAGATTATGTTCCACTAGGGCAGAAGTAATTAGAATATAGATTTTGGGTTATGAAAGAAAGATTAATTGGTATTTTACCATTTCTTCCATTCCTTTGATAGTTTTCTTTCACGTGAGGTGATTATCATAACATTTTGGAGCTTGAAGGGACTCTAGATATAGCTAGAGATAGCTAGTTTCCACTCATCTCACTTTGCAGTTAAGGAAACAGTTATTATAAGGTATTTGTCCAAGGGCACTAGCTCTAGTGTCATAACAGGACCTGTTAACCATAGCTTTTGATTGCATGCTTGTGCTCTTTTCCCAATATTCTAAGTCCTCTTTTCCTTAGAGTTCAAACAACTTATTAACCTATCTGAAAATGAAATTGTAGGAAATACTTCTATATATACACCTATCTTATGATTATTCCCTACTGACGTTCTTTCAAGGTGGGTACATTTAAGGTGGTGGGATGAAGTGGTAAATTGTTTAAATATTTACTAATTTTTTGTTTATGGGATATGTATTTATCTGATGTCTAATTCAATTATTGGTAATAAATATTTTCTTTGCTTAGAAATGAGAAATATTGGATTTATATATGATATATTTTAGATTTACTTTTTCTGTTGCTAAGAGAATGTAAAAACTGAAATCACATTTTTCTTTCTTCATTTTGCAGTAGTATTATTGATTCCACAGAATACAGCCAACCTCCAGGTTTCAGTGGCAGTTCTCAGGTAAATGATACATCTAACAGTATGTTATAGTGGTATCATAAATATAATCACCTGAGTTGTAAAATCACAGATGAGTTTACTGGAATGTCCTGTCATAAAGACAGCTGTTTTGAATGCTGTGGCATTGATTAGGACTTGAATAGCTCTGATACATAATCAGATATATATTTGCTCATCACTGGGTTTAAATTTTTTTTTAATATACTGGTAACATCAGACCTTGAGAGGAAGGAAATACGATAAGAGGAAATTATGAGTAATCAGGGCATTGTTTCTCTCAGAGATAAGAAAGTTGTAATTATTACCCATTATTATGTTGAAACATGTAGCTTTTCTGTGGAAAGTAAACTACAGGCTTGAGTAAAATAGACTCTGGCTTCTCCTTTTCTTTAATTAATTGTATGATTATTTTTATTTTTACTGTCTTCATCTCTGATTTGGGGATGCTGATATTTGTCAAATATAATTTTGAGGCCAGACTTTTTTTTTTTTAAACTTTTCACATTGAAATAACTTCAGACTTAGAAGTTACAAGAATGGTAAAAAATAATTCCTTTATATTCTGTATGCAGATTATCCAGATGTTAACATTTGATCACATTTGCTTTATCATTCTCATTCTGTCTCTCTTTTATATATACACACATAAAATTTTTTCTTTGGATGTTTGAGCAGGGTACAGACATAATGTTCCTTTATCTAAATACCCCAGTGTATATTTCCTTAAAAACAAGGATATTGTCCTATGTAATCACAGTATAACTTTAAAATTCAAGAAGTTAATGTTGATATGGTGCTATTATCTAATCCCTATATCTTACTCAGATTTTACAAATTGTCCTTCCATTATCCTTTATAATATCCTGTTTTCCTTAAAAGGAAAAAAACATAAGGCATTCAAATGAGGCATATTCATTTGTATATTCATTTTATGTGATAGTGCAGTTATTTTTATCAAAGTGGAAAGGAAATTCTTTCTGATCATACAGCTTTTATTTGTGTTTTTCTTTCCCCACTACTTAAATAACTGCCTCTATTACTTTTATGGTTAGTTTGTGTAACTACTCTGTATATCCTGTGTTATCTTCAACTGCATGCTTGGATTTGGCCTATTGTTTTTTTATAGTAAGTTTATAGATTGGTTTGTATCTGTTTCTGAACAGCCATGAAAACACCAAATCTAGGTCTTTTGGTTGTCTGTTTGTTTGTTTTTTTCGGTACACGGGCCTCTCACTGTTGTGGCCTCTCCCGTTGCGGAGCACAGGCTCCGGATGCGCAGGCTCAGCGGCCATGGCTCACGGGCCCAGCTGCTCCGCGGCATGTGGGATCTTCCCGGACCGGGGCACGAACCTGTGTCCCCTGCATCGGCAGGCGGACTCTCAACCACTGCACCACCAGGGAAGCCCTAGGTGTTTTTTAAATAAGACAATGGGATATATCAGGAGAAATTTTTAAGAATTAAATTGAAAAAAAAAAAAAAGAAAAAAAAATCAAATTGAAACATCCTTAAGAACTTGAACAGGAAAAGCAGTCTCTGAATCTGGAAACAGGCTTGGCATTCACAGCTGGGCCTTGATGTTCTCCTTTTAAACATAATCTCACAGAACATCAACATCAGACATAGTCACTCTGGGACGGTGATGAAATGAAGCAAAAACCGAGATCACTTCATAAATTTATTAAGCACATACAAAAAGAAGTCACTGTGTAAGCCACATAAAATACCAAACACACCTCTATCATGGCTGATATGAGCAGTTGCTGTTTCTTTACTAATTACAACTTTAGTCTCACTGTAGTTTTCTGTTTGTCTAGGTAAGATATATTAAGGTACTCAATCACAGAATTATCCCCACTTCTTGACAGTGTCCAATCCAGAGCAAAGCCTTACTTCCTTGAACCCTCCCCCAAATCACTTAACATGGGCCTATATCCTATAAGTAGTTTGTAACATCCTCTTACCTTAACCTGTAGTGTGCTGTATTCTTCATTGCAATGAGCAATAATAAAATTTGTTCAACTACAGGTGTGTCCCTATTGGTCTTTGGCTGCAGGGCTTTGACAAAGTCTACATAGAGGAACAGAGAAGATTTTCTACTATTGCCATTTATAGAACATTGATTTGGAATTTCTAGCAAATTCCATAAGCTAGAAATAATAGAAATTGAATAGAAAAAAAAAGCAATCAGAATAGTGTTTTTTTTTTTAAATTTTTACTGTTGGCATATAATAAAGGAGGCTCCTGGTTTGAGATTGTACACTAAGCCAATGTAATCCCTCCAGCCTCCACCCACTAGAAATCCCATTGACATATTGCTATCCTCACACTGAAAACTTAAAAAGAATTTGTAAAGATAAAAAGAATACTTAGGAAGCCCACCTAACATATGAGTCACTGTATGTAGAGTAAAAGCATGCTTTTGGATGAAGTAGTCTGGGTCTCTCAGGAGACTCCAACCTTAGTATCTGCTGGAGGACAGGGAAGTTGCTGAGGAGGAAAACCTACTAGTGCTTATGTGATAGAACTAATGTGACATATTGTGCCAAAGTCCTTAGGCTTCATTTCTAGGTATACTCTTTAGAAGAGACAGACTTAAAACAGATTGACACAGAAAGACTTGAAAACAAAGGAGTAGTTGAGGATAAGCCTGGCAAATGTAAGAATGGTAAGGACTACAACAAAAACAAACAAACAACAAAGAAGGAAAGAAGAGTAGACCAAAGTAGAACTCAAGGAAAAAATCATAGAAGACAGATACAGGTTTTCACATAATGAAAGGTATAATCCCACAAAGTAGTAATTTGTGTGACATAATCTAAAGCATTGGTATTTATATAAAGCAAAACCTATTAGAAATTTTCAAAAATTGATTAAAAGTTAAGCATGGTAAGAGATTTTAAGGTATAGTCATCCTTCAGTATCCATGGGGGATTGGTTCCAGGAACCCCTGCAGGTACCAAAATCCAAGGTTGCTCAAATCCTTGGATAAATTGGTGTATATTTGCATATAACCTGGGTATCACATCCTCCTATATGCCTTGTCATCTCTGGATTACTTGTAATAACTAATATAATGTAAATGCTATATAAAAAGTTTTAAATACAATGTGAATACTGTGTAAATAGTTGCCAGTGCAGCTGCAAATTCGTTTTGCTTTTTGGAACTTTCTGGAATTTCTTCTTCTTTTTTGGGGGGAGGGGTGTGTGTGGATTTTTTTTGTCTGCATTTGATTGAATTTTTAGATGCAGAACCTGCGGATATGGAAGGCCTACTGTATAATTCAAGAAGTAATTAAAGTAGAAACAAAAGTATTTAGGTAACATTTATTTTACATTTACTATTCATGGACATTACTCAGTGTACTTTACATGTATTAACTACTTTAATTCTTAGAATTTCCCTATAAGATAAGTACTATTACTATTATTTTCTATTTTATTGAGGAGGAAACTAGGGCAAAGAGAAGTTGAGGAGGTTGCCCAAGGTAATATAACAGAGATTTTAACTCAGGCATTATGACTTCAGGGCAGGTGCTTTTAAATATTAATTTATTCAACCAAAAGTTTTTTTGAGTACCTCCTATTTACCAGACACTATTATAGGCTCTGGTTATTGAACCAAAACAAAACAGACAAAAATTCATGCTGTAGCCAAACTTTCAGTCTAGTTGGAGAGATACTAATAGTAATAAGAATAGATTACCTTTGAACAAAGAGGAGGTGAGGGAGCAAGCTATGTGAATATCTCCGGGAAGATCTAGGCTGAGTGAAAATAAGAACATAAGCCTTAAGGTACAAGAATGCCAGACACAGTCCAAAAGTCCAGTATGACTGGAGAGGAATGAGGAAGGAGGAGAAAAATAGAAATGAGGTAAGAACCATGACAGAGGCCACTTTGGCGCATGATTTTCTTACATCATTATAAAGACATTGGATTTTTTTCTTTGAGATGAGTCAAACTTGATTTAATAGGTACTTGTCTCACTTTATACTTTGCATCAAGGGATATACATTATTTATAGTAATCTTAGAGCATTTAGAAAACTGGATTGATTCTAAAACAGAATAAATTGTACCATCTACATTCTCTGAATCAGAACCTCAAATAAATAACTACTTAGACAATCTGGAAGAGAGAAAACTAAATACTTCTCTTAATACCTTTGGGTCAAAGAGTATACAGACGTTGCTACAAACAATTCAGAAAATAATGCTAATGAAAATATTATATATCAAAATTTATGAAATTTTGGTCAGAATTTTCCTAAAAAATAGTATCATTAAATTAATTCATTTTTAGATGTGAATAAAAATAAATGAACTAGGTATTGAACTCAAGAAACTGGGAAAAACTTAAGACAGCAAATGTAGAGAGAAATAAAAAAGATCCTGTATGTTACAATATATAATTGAAATTGGCTATTATAATATTGAGTAGATTAAAATTACTTAGTGCTGATGCATATTAGTAAAAATAGCAGTCTTAATAAAATGTATAAATTTCAATGAAAATAAAAAATATTAAAATAGGTTAAAGAAATTGATAAACATTTTGAATAGACCAATAGCCATAACTTAATGTGATTCCAATTAAAAATCCTCAGTGTTTTTTAAAGGTCGGTAGAGAGTGTGACCAATTGACTTTAATGGTTATTTATAGAATGAATGCTGTGGAGGTATAATAATTACAAGGGCATTTACCCATTAAGTTATTATAATGTATCCTAAGACTGCTGTAACAAAACGGGCACAATAAAAAATGTAAAATCTAACAGAAAGGTAATGAAGAGTTTACCCTATGGTGAAGGTGGATATGCAGATCAGTGGTGAAAGGGAAGATTTTTTTTCTTGAATTTCAGTTTACTTATTTTTTTATAGAGCAGGTTCTCACTAGGTATCCATTTTATACATTATATATGTTAGTGTATATGTCAGTCGCAATCTCCCACTTCATCCCACCACCACCACCCGCCCCCCCCACCACTTTCCCACCTTGGTG